GCCGGGCCGGGCCGCTCCGCCGCGGCTGGGTGGGGGCCCGGCCGGCCCGGGAGCAGGTGCCCCGCGTACAGAACTAATTACCCCGCTAATATAAATCATCCCGGGACGGATATAATTAGACTCTTAAACAAATGCGCTCACTCCCCAGCAATGCGGGAGTTTTTATTTCCAATTTCCTACTCTCCCGGCGCTCAGCCTTTCTGCAGGTGCACAAAAACGTGCCTTAGCAGGGGAAAAAAAATTAAATAAAAAAATTTTAAAAAAGAAAAAAAAAAGGTGCGGGTGGTGGCCAGCTCTAGCTGCGCCTCTGAAGTTAGTGGTGAGGGAGGCAAAAGAAAGGAGGGAGCATGTTGGAAAAAGAAATTCCTAGCTTTTTTGGGTGGTGTTTTTTTTCCCCTCCTTTTTTTTTTTTGGCTTCCACAGACATTTGTGAGCTGATTTCTTTTACTTGCATGAATTTCATTAGAAGAGCGTCTCCCCAAAGCAGACAGGGATCAGTTGGCTGGATGGGTGTCAGAAGCTCGGTTTGGGGAGGTTATTGGAAAGCAAAGGGGAAGCTGAAGGGGGGAAAATGCTTAGGGGACCTCAGAAAGAAAGGAGAAGATGGAACAATAGGCAGAGCACCGTGGATTTACCTTGCCACCCGGGATACAGCTGGAAGACTGCAGCGCCTGTATCAGTGTCACACAAGAGCAGGGATCTCTAATGAGACTATATGTAATCTTCAAAAAATGCATCCCAAGCCACAGGCGAAGAAGTACAGTAAGTTTGAGCGCAGCTAAGAAAAATTCCCACTACTTCAGCATCTAGTGCAGGTGTCTGTGTAAGCTATCAACAAGTCCCATGCCAGTGATCTCAGCTATGTTGTCAACAGGTTGCAAGAAGTGCTCGCAAGACATTTTATAGTTTTCAAGTGATTTAACTCCTCAGTGAAAGGAATTCTTTTTTTGCCTTTACTTGTTTGCAACCGGTCCTTTCTGATACTCCAGGAACGCTGCTGCTGCTATTGTTGGTAGTTTAAGGCAGGTTTTTGGAACAATCGGAGCAGCTTATCTCCGTACTGCGCTTTCCATAAACACCAGGTGTGTGCATAGCATGTCCCTGCCTACATCAACAAGAAAGTCATAACCCGCGGGTCAGAGTCAGGTACTAATAGACTCGTGGGGCAAGCGTTCTTTAATTACCTCCCAAAAGACGCACATCTTCTAACCTTTCATGCTGCAATACACGATGGGTTTCCACGTTAAAAGAAACTGAAAGCAAATCCATTGCATCTGTTTGGTTTTAGTTCAATCTGCCACGTAGTATTTCTATCACTTCTTTTTACTTATCTTTATACAAGTAAAGAGCCAGTTTCAAATGGCAGCATTTGTCTCAGTTCCATTTTTTATAAAGAACGAGTAAAATAAGTGTATTTCCAAACAAACTGGAAAAACGCGTTAAACGGGCTAAAACTTTTCATGAATTTTGCACGCCTAAGCTTAAGTCACACAGTGCGTTCAATAAATCGAAACATTGGCATTCCCTAAGTGTTTTAGCAGTCAGCATCCAGCTACGTAAACTAGACCAGACTTCAGATATAAAATATTATAGTTTTCTGCTTCAGGGTTTTCCCAGAGGCAGTGTAAAATAAATAGTTATTTGTTGCAATTGCAAGACAAAGCCCCAAAGGATTAGACTGGAATCCTCGTGTTCAGATAAAGTTGGACTAAACCTCGCTTCAGCAGAGACTCAAAGCAATAACGTATTGGCACACAGTATTCACCATCTGCATTCAGTAGCCATGAATATTTAAATTCCAGTGTTACTGGTATGGTTCGTATTAGGATGTCATGTATCAATGCATTCCTAAATTTTGCATGCAGCAGTCAGAAAGCAGTAACTTATTACAGAAATAGGCAGCCTGAGCGATTCTGGGGAACTACGAAACTGTGGTGAGGGATACAGAGCTAGACGAGGGTTTCAGGGTAGCAGTTTAAAGCTGCCTTAAATCTAGGGGCATCTGGGGAAATACTTAGAAATCCAGTATGGCGGTTTGGTGGATCAAGCCCACACGGCTGGAAGGTGCTCCCTGATATCACGAGCAGATAATTAATGTGCTCCATGGATGGCTGCGACACCGCAGCAGAGGCACGTATCCAGCTGCAGATAGGACGTAGGTTGGAACCGGACTTTGCATACCTATCTGCTAGTACTGGAAGGGGTTCAGGAAAAGATGGACAGTATCTGCACCCTCCCACGCGCAGCCATCCCAGAAGTTACCAGGTGTGCAAGACATCCAAGTCTTCCAGAGGGGAAAAAAAAGAGCCAAAGCCCTGGTGATGCAGAACAGAGTACCAGGGTCCTAACGGTGAGGGCCAAGGGAGGGATTCTTTTGTTGTAGCGCAGCATTCAGGGGATGTGCCCACAGGACACAGGGAAGGTAGCAGCATCGTCTACCCACGCTGCCTGAGCAATCACAGTAACTATTCCCTCTCATCTGTCGAGGACTGGAGCGTTCCTAAATAACACCTGTCTTGTGGAATGTGATATTT